GTTGACATGTCGAGGGAAATAACAGCCGCTTCCTTCCATTAATCTGTGCCTCTTGCCGTGTGTGGTCTTGCTGTATCCTCCCGGTGAGATTTTCCTGCTGAGTTTGTATAGAACATTGAAACCCAGGTCCCTGTCGTCGACCACTGCACTTCCTTGGTCGTTCATCACCAAGGAAGTTAACTCTGCGCGCAGTTTTCCGTTTTTGTCTCCTGGTCATTGTTACCTGAAAAGGCCTGGTGGAATCGTCTTGTTCATCATCCATCAGTCACTTGACTTTTGTCTATATGTTATTTTAGATTTAGCTACTTGCAACTAAAATGTCCATGTAGCACGGGTCACGATAACCTTGTTATTGTGATATTTGGGTCAAAGTTTTAAATGAAGGTAGAGTTTCCTTCTTTTCGCACTGGTTTTAGTCTTTTGTTTTAATAACATTATCTCTGTGGCGGATATAGATGCGCAATATTCTCTAGTGTCCCATTCTTTCATTACTTTTTTAACCATTGTAGTCGCTGTGGACTGTGTTTGATGTGCAGGGCTTCAGTTGCTTCACATTCCAGTAAGTAACGTAATAGTGGCACTTCTGCATCTGTTATACTGATATGATACTCTCTAACTATTAGGTTTATTACCTCCCAGCAGCACTTGTAGCCAAGTGCTACAAGTGTAAGGAAAGGATAGGTCCATTAAAAACTGAGACAGGTCAGATAACTGAGAATGACGAAGAGATGAGTAATATTTGCAAAATATATTTGATCTCTATTTACTAAAAAGGAACTTAACATTATGCCTTCAGCCGCCTACAGATGTCATAAAGACTTCCAACCCATTCGCCGTGTTGGAAGACGAGTGCTGTAAGGGAGACTGCAATTCCCTCGAAAGTCAAGGCAAAGAAGGGAGCGCCGGTCCCTCAAGGTGCTCACAAAGTAAAGGAAGTAGCTAAGCGAATTTTGGTTGTGGGAGACTCCCAGGTGAGGTGTTTGGATTGTTTTTTGTGCCGGAGATAAGGGGAACAGGTTAAGGGTTTGCTATCCGGGAGCAGGAATTGGTGATATAGTGAACATGAATGATATGACTGGAAATGGGAACAAACCCATTATTTGTATCTGTGCAGGTGGAAATGATGTTGGACGAGTTAGGAGTGAGGCACTAATACAAAGGTGCCATAGAACATAGCCATAGAACTAGTTAAAACAAGGGAGGAATCCCGATCATATGTGGCATTCTTCCAAGAAAGGGAGTTGTCAATGAATGGTTGTCGAGGGCACTTGGTGTCAATTGTCGACTGGACAAATATTGTAAATCAAATGTAATATCATTCATTGATAACTGGGACCAATTCTATGGAAGATATGACATGTATGCTCGGGATGGCGTGCATTTATATAGGGCTGGGGTTGCTGCTGTCGCCAACTCGTTGGAACCTGTAGTGGAGGGGTTTGTTTGGGTTTAAACTGTTATTAGACAGTGGTGTGGGAATTAATATGGAGAAAGGAAGCAATAAAGGTATACGTTGATGGGAGAAAAGAAAACTTGCAAAATGAACAGGGAAAGAGAAGGGCGTCAAAATGGCAGTACACTAAAGTACACTAACAGTAGGAGTCTTAGAAACAAAATAAACGACTTAAATGCTGTTTCTTGTCTGCACAGAAACAATAGATATTATTGCACTTACCGAAACATGGATGAGTGTTGAAAACAGAGAACTATTAGCTGAATATCAAATAAACGGATTTAAACTATTTCACATAGATAAATATATTAGACGAGGAGGGGGAGTAGCTATATATATCTTAGGGACAATTTGAAATGTAGTCTCAAAGTGGGAATCAAAACTGAGCCACACACAGAAACTATTTGGATAGAATTAAACAAAAAAGCTACAAATCTTATAATGGGAGTTATATACTGGCCACCAAACTTAGACAGAATGGAAGCAAAGCATCTATGGGAAGAAATATCTAGAGCATCTAGGTCAAACAGTAATTGTGTCACGGGTAACTTTAATTTTAGTAGAATAAACTGGCTTAACAGAACAGGGAATAATGAAGCAGACGTTTTTCTAAAATTAATTGACGATTGCTTCCCTAAGCAACACATTAAGGAACCATTGCATGAAAATAATATTTTAGACTTCGTGTTAACTAACAGGGAAATGCAAATTAATAACATCGAAATACAGAGAGCTAGGGAACAGTGATCACAAAGAAATCAGATTTAGCATGAAATGGAATAGATTTGTAGAACATTCCGTTAAAGTGCCAGATTTTCGAAAGCTGATTTTAATAGGCTAAGAAAGTTTTTGGGTGAAAAGATTGGAAAGTCCTTGGCATGTGGGGGTGCCAGTCTTGAAGCGAGACGTGAACCCAGTGAAGGGTGATGTAAAAAGGGATTTTCTATGTGGATTCAAAATAAAACTTATTTAAAAATATTCTAAGCAAAGCACATGAATATAGTATACCATACAAATTGAATAGATTGAATAATAATGACCCGAAATGGATAACAAAGGATCTGAAGAACCTTGTAGGTAGAAAGTGAGCGTGGTACAAAAGGATAAAGAATGGGGAAATCAGTTTAGAAGAAAAATTCTTCCAACTTGTTAGAGATGGTAAAAAATAGATAAGGAGGGCAAAAAGGAACTATGAAGTTCGTGTAGCAGGGCAAGCAAAGATAAATCCTAAAGTTTTTTTCAGTTATATCGAACAAAGATTATGGAAAGGATAGGTCCATTAAAAACTGAGACAGGTCAGATAACTGATAATGACGAAGATATGAGTAGTATTTTTAATAAATATTTTATCTCTGTATTTATTAAAGAGGAATTAAACATTATGCCTTCAGCCAAACACGTCTATGTGGGTGGGGAAGAAGACAGGGTGACTAGTTTAGAAGTTACCAGGGAGGATGTTATTAAACAAATAGTAAAGCTCCAGCCAAACAAATCCCCAGGGCCGGACGAAATGTTTGCCAGGGTGCTTAAAGAATGCAAAGAGGAGCTTTGCGAGTCATTGTCTACAATATTTAATAAATCACTAGATTCAAGCAGAGTGCCAGAGTGTTGGAAGGTTGCTAATGTGGTACCAATTTTCATGAAAAGAGATAGATCACTTGCGACAAACTATCTGCCAATTAGCTTAGCTTCTATTGTGGGAAAGTTACTTGAATCAATAATTGTAAATACATTCATCATCTTGAAAAACATAAATTAATAAATGATTCACAACATGGATTTATAAATGGGCATTCATGTTTAACAAATTTGCTGTCAACTGAACAAATCCACAAGGGCCGTGATGAGGGTTTGAACCTAAGTCCGAGAGAATCCCAGACGTGCTTTAATCTTAAGTTCGAACTCTCATCACGGCCCTTGTGGATTTGTTCCTTTGATGCTTCACGCTATTGTGATTTCTGTGTGTAAATTTGCTGTCATTTTATTCCAGCATAGTTGAGGCAGTTAATAGTGGTAAGGTTTGTGATGTTGTATACCTTGACTTTAGCAAAGCTTCTGATACAGTGCCACATGAAAGACTGATTAAACAGATAGAGGCTCATGGTATTAGTGGTGCTATATTAAGTTGGATTAGGGCATGGCTATACCAATGGAAACAAAGAGTTAGTATCAATGGGGTTAAGTCAGCATGGGAAAATGTTGTAAATGGAGTGTCTCAAGGCTCTGTCCTGGGACCTCTGTTATTCATAATATATATAAATGATTTTGATTCAGGTTTGAGCAGCAATATTTGCAAATTTGCCGATGATACAAAAATCGGGAGGGAAATAAACACGGACAAAACTATCACTTCAACACGATCTAAATAGGGTTTCGAAATGGTCAAAAGATTGGCAGATGCAGTTTAAAGCTGACAAATGTAAGGTTCTGAGGCTGGGTAATGATGATAGAGTTACAAGATACGAGCTGGATGGTGTTGAGATTGCCAAGTCGGATTGCGAAAGCAATCGCAACTGGGAGTTATGATTAGTTAGAATTTAAAACCAAAAAATCAGTGCAAAAATGTTCGTAATAAGACAAATAGGACACTGGGAATTATTTATCGAAGTGTTAGTAATAAGACACCTGGTGTTGTTCTTCAAATATATCTTTCTCTGGTTTGACAGTTATATTTAAATTATGGTTAGACTGTACATGAATTTAGATTATGCAGTTCAGTTTTGGTCGCCGTACTATAGAATTGATATAAAATCACTAGAACGCTTCCAGCATAGGATGACAAAGTTTATCCCCCAAATTAAAAACCTGTCAAATGAACAAAGATTGACAAAGCTTAAATTACATTCTCTTTTCATTCTCTTACATTCGCTTGTCTGCACAGAAACAATAGAAATTATTCCACTTACCGAAAATGGATGAATGTAGAAAATAGAGAACTATTAGCTGGATATCAAATAAACGAATTTAAACTATTTCACACAGATAGATATATTAGACGAGGAGGGGGAGTAGCCATATATGTTAGGGAAAATTTGAAATGTAGTCTCAAAGAATCAAGTCTGAGCCACACACAAACTATTTGGCTAGAATTAAACGAAAAAGCTAAAAATATTATAATAGGAGTTATATATAGGCCACCAAACTTAAACAAAATGGAAGCAAAGCATCTATGGGATGAAATATCTAGAGCATCTAGATCTAACAGTATTTGTAACATAGGTGACTTTAATTTTAGTGGAATAAACTGGCTTAACAGAACAGGGAATATTGAAGCAGAAGATTTTCTTGAATTGACAATTGCTTTCTTAAGTATGATAAATTATATTCTAAAATCAATTTAACAATAGATAAATGTTAGAGCAAATACACAATAGCCCTCCATGTTGTTGATACATGGATGCTGGAGTAATGGCAAGCATTACATTCTCAAAAATGTACTTATCTCACACAACGTAAATACATGTAAAATCATAAGGAATTATTACAAATTTGAAAGAGTTTGTACGTTTAAATAGCACATGAAAGAAGGATTAAATAAAATTCAATAAAGAATTAATTATATATTTACTTACTGATTTAACTTAGCTTAACTAACTAGAGGTTGCTAATGATTCAGCTCCTTTGGTAAATGGAATAAATTAATGTTTACTGCAAATTTGTTGCTGCAATATTTACATCACTCCGAGGTTGGAATACTTCCTGAGTCGCCTTCCCAACACTTCCAGACGTCAGTGTACACAACCAGTCATCTTGACGACGTCGTCAACACTTCCAGACGTCAGTGTACACAACCAGTCATCTTGACGACGTCGTGAACACTGCTGGACGTCAGTGTACACAACCAGTCATCTTGACGACGTCGTGAACACAGCTGGACGTCAGTGTACACAACCAGTCATCTTGACGACGTCGTGAACACTGCTGGACGTCAGTGTACACAACCAGTCATCTTGACGACGTCGTCAACACTGCTGGACGTCAGTGTACACAACCAATCATCTTGACGACGTCGTCAACACTGCTGGACGTCAGTGTACACAACCAGTCATCTTGACGACGTCATCAACACTGCTGGACGTCAGTGTACACAACCAGTCATCTTGACGACGTCGTCAACACTGCTGGACGTCAGTGTACACAACCAGTCATATTGACGACGTCGTCAACACTGCTGGACGTCAGTGTACACAACCAGTCATCTTGACGACGTCATCAACACTGATGGACGTCAGTGTACACAACCAGTCATCTTGACGACGTCATCAACACTGTTGGACGTCAGTGTACACAACCAGTCATCTTGACGACGTCATCAACACTGCTGGACGTCAGTGTACACAGCCAGTCATCTTGACGACGTCATCAACACTGATGGACGTCAGTGTACACAACCAGTCATCTTGACGACGTCATCAACACTGATGGACGTCAGTGTACACAGCCAGTCATCTTGACGACGTCAACAACACTGCTGGACGTCAGTGTACACAACCAGTCATCTTGACGACGTCAACAACACTGCTGGACGTCAGTGTACACAACCAGTCATCTTGACGACGTCAACAACACTGCTGGACGTCAGTGTACACAACTTCAACAGTGTTAAATCCTTGAATTTTATCTAAAGCTATCAGCATATGACCCATCTGACACACAGCATGTATGAGCAAACGGCACATCTGACATACAGCATGTGTGAGCATGACACATCTGACACAGCATGTGTGAGCAAACGACACATCTGACACACAGCATGTGTGAGCATGATACGGGATATGGTAACTCTCATCAGTATTAGGTATGGTGATTTAACGGTCAAATTCTATAGTCTTTCCACAAGTTTGGAAGAACTAAATTGTTTAGTGAAACATTTGTGTGCACGTCTAATAATTTGATCCAACAAGTATTGTAGCTTCACCCCTAGGAGTATTATACACTTATAATGTTCTCAGGAATGGGTTAATTGTAAATGAAAGCTTCTGAGATTATACAAATAGGATGAAATGGACACTTAGCTTGTGAAAGCTGCATTTGCAACAGTGACGAGTACAGCCAACTGTGTTAACTGGCTGTAATATACGGTCACTGCATCTACAGTGATGACCACCCACACAGTGAGACACACTGACTATGTTGCAGTAAGGTTGCGGTAATGTTGCATCTTGAGTAGTGAACTAACTGGTAGAGTGTTACAAGAAAGTCTTCAAGGCTCTGCAGCATACTGCCAGCTGGTGAACAACACCTCCACACATATTTGCGAGGAGTTAACAGTACTATAACTCTAACAAGATTATCATATAAATTATTACGATTGGCTTCATCCCTTAAATTTTATGTACATGTGTACTTCAGTATTAATAATAATGATTGATGAAGTAATACATTTCATCTGGCATAACTCGCCCTCAGGTGAGCTGCATCAATGTGTCCTGAAGACATCACGGTAAGACCACCTGCGTGTAACGTAACTGTTCTCATTATAACACCCTCAAGCCTTAGGGTTCTTGTAGGCGCCCAAGAAGAGCACGTTCTTGGTAAGGTTGTCGTAAATGATAAACAGGAACGGATGGTTACACTCAAACTTCTCAGGTCCGACGGGCCGAGCAATCCTCCAGGAGATGAGGGCCGTAGCGGCCGCTGCCTCGGTCCCTTCCTCAGACACCTCCACGAAGGCCTTGTGAATGCTCTTGCCGATGCTGAGGCTGCCAGATGGCACGAAGGCGGTGAGGTTGGCAAGTCTCTGGTCAAACAGGTCAGTAACACCCATGCCAGCCAGGGCCTGCAAGAAGGAAGAGTGTCACTTTATTATATCACATATGAACACTGTAAATGGAGATAAGACAATTATCAGGAGAAAGTGCTAAGCCAGTATGACCATACAGTACTTGGAAAGGATATGAGAAGAAGTAGTTTGGATACGACGGAGGAAAGCAATGGTGCCCAACCACTTACAATGGCACTAAAGTTTAAAATAAATAATAATATTTAGCAAAAGAAGTGAAGCCCTCGGGAGAGTTTGTGGAGGCTGGGTCACGTCCTGATGCAGCCTCTGAGGCTGTGTTCTTAGCACACAGAGCTTGTACATCATTACTGGACTAAGGTGACTAAGCAACAAATGATTATGAAACATAACTTGAGTGTGTGGAGTGAGAAGCTCAGAGAAGTACTTTTGAAGGGATAAAGAGGAGTGGAAGAAGGCAAAGATGTACTAGAGATGGGTCACTAAGAGAGTTCCCGAGTCACTCACCACCATCAACTCGTTCTCAATCAGTTGCTCCAGCTTGAACTTGGGGATGATGACTTCGACCTGCATGCGCCACATGTTGTTGAAGGCCTCGTGGAGGAGAGACGCATTGAGGCGCTCCACCATGGCATTAAAGCCGTTCTCTCCACTGATGAAGGGCGGGAGGAGGATGTACATGGACACGGCCTCGCCCGTGTACGGCAGCTCCAGGATGTGCGCGCCCAGTTCCTCTGACACTCCTGTCACACAAGGCAAAGTATTAATTATACTGGATTAATGGCACTACCTAGCACAGTAAGAGAGAGAGACACACACAAACAAAGATCAGAGGTATGCCATTAGACTAGTCCCAGAACTAAGAGGTATGAGTTACGAGGAACGGCTGCGTGAGTTGCATCTCACATTGCTGGAACACAGACGACCTCAGGGAGCTCTTCGCCACATACAAAAGTCTCACAGGAATTGACAGGATAAAATACCGTCATAAATAGTGTCAAGCAGTATCCTCCCCCACGATAGTTGCCACATAGTAACTGGTGGTGACTTAATTGCGAGCTCAGCACGCAGTATATTCTTTCACGACCAGACATCACATTCACTCCAAGAAATCTACCAGTTACGGGCTATTCATGCCCGTGCCAACTCTTGGGTGGCTTAATCTCCATCAATCAATCAGACAGGGTAGATAAGGACGGATTATTTAACACGGGTGGTTCTCGCACAAGGGTCCATAGAATGGCCTTTGGGCCTTTGTTTAGAGGACCGGATGTTTAGAGAATTGTGGTTCGAACAGAGGACGTGAGCAAAGCACGTTTTCCGGAAGTGTTCGGACGCCGTCAGTTGTGAGTCACGTGTAAACACAGTATTCATTCATAAACAGTGGGTTTGGCGGCTAGATTAACGAGCTTGGATCTTTGTATGCGAGGACGAGCTGCACTCTGCAGCCCGTCCTCTAAACAAAGGCCCAAAGCACCCGCCAAACCCACTGCTTATGAATGAAAAACGGTTTACACGTGACTCATAACTGATGGCGTCCGAACACTTCCGAAACATTTTTTTTTTATATACAAGAGTTGTTACATTCTTGTACAGCCAGTAGCACATAGGGTTTCGGGCAGGTCCTTATTCCTAATGTTGCCTGGAGTATGACCCGCCAAATCGCTTAACAACCAAGTACTCATTTTACTGTTGGGTAAACAGAGGCTACAGTTAAGGATTAACGCCCAGTAAATCCAAATAGTGGGCAACAGAACCTAAACACCTCACCTAACCAGTGCCTAAATATGCACAATATGCTAATATATAATAATATTAATTTATATTTGAGAAAAGTTCTGTTTTGAATGAACAGAATGTTAACATTGATGAATGCGTCTTTGGGGTCGACCGCTGGATAGAATGGACTTGGTCTGAGGACGGGTTGCACGCTGAGAACCTGCAACACGGAGCTCCACTAGCTGACAGCCAGCATAAACACCACTCACAATGAGAGAGCAAAAGGAAGCAGAACAAAAAAGAAGCAGAAGGCTGCATACAGAAAAGGCAGCTACAAAAGAATGAAGGAGTTGGTGGGCGGAATACAATGGGAAGACTACTCAGGACATGATGCCGGGCTTCATGTCACCATGTAAACACTACACTCTAACTTGACCAGATCACACACTAGAAGGTGAAGGGACGACGACGTTTCCGTCCGTCCTGGACCATTCTTAAGTCGATTCAATCAACTTGAGAATGGTAAAGTCGATTCATGGATGGTCAATAGTCGAATCAATCGACATTCTTTATCGACTTGAGAATGGTCCAGGACGGACGGAAACGTCGTCGTCCCTTCACCTTCTAGTGTGTGGTCTGGTCAACTTACTTTAGCCACGTTATTGTGACTCATCACCATGTAAACACTACACTGACTACTTTATTCCAGTTCAGAATCATATGGAAGACAAATATAAGGTCAGACCGTGCTTTAACAATGCATGCAGGAAATCAAAAGCCATGCATAACAACGCATACAATAAACACAGCACAAAAATAATCAAGAAACACAAACAATTGAGCACATATGGGCAGGAACGAGATTATTAGCACTAGGAGACAAACAGACAGATAATTAATAAATGACAGACCTGCCTAAGCAAATAGCAGCCAAAACCATTGTATATCCACATAAGAAGGAAAATATCAATGCTGGACCAAGGAATCAGAGTGTAAAAAAATGCTGGTATATTAAGACAGGAATGTCTGGCAAGAACTCAACCCAAGATCCCAGGAAGTTGAGGTGAATATTTACAAGCGAGCAAGGCCAAGTGTTCCACACCAGGGGGGGTAGGTAGTGGAGCATACAGGAGTTCCACACCAGGGGGGGTAGGTAGTGGAGCATACAGTAGTTCCACACCAGGGGGGTAGGTAGTGGAGCATACAGGAGTTCCACACCAGGGGGGGTAGGTAGTGGAGCATACAGGAGTTCCACACCAGGGGGGGTAGGTAGTGGAGCATACAGGAGTTCCACACCAGGGGGGTAGGTAGTGGAGCATACAGGAGTTCCACACCAGGGGGGTAGGTAGTGGAGCATTCAGGAGTTCCACACCAGGGGGGTAGGTAGTGGAGCATACAGGAGTTCCACACCAGGGGGGTAGGTAGTGGAGCATTCAGGAGTTCCACACCAGGGGGTAGGTAGTGGAGCATACAGGAGTTCCACACCAGGGGGGTAGGTAGTGGAGCATACAAGAGTTCCACACCAGGGGGTAGGTAGTGGAGCATACAGGAGTTCCACACCAGGGGGTAGGTAGTGGAGCATACAGGAGTTCCACACCAGGGGGGTAGGTAGTGGAGCATACAGGAGTTCCACACCAGGGGGGTAGGTAGTGGAACATACAAGAGTTCCACACCAGGGGTGTAGGTAGCGGAACATACAAGAGTTAAACACCAGGGGGGTAGGTAGTGGAGCATACAGGAGTTCCACACCAGGGGGGGTAGGTAGTGGAACATACAAGAGTTCCACACCAGGGGGTAGGTAGTGGAGCATACAAGAGTTCCACACCAGGGGGGGGTAGGTAGTGGAGCATACAAGAGTTCCACACCAGGGGGTAGGTAGTGGAACATACAAGAGTTCCACACCAGGGGGGGTAGGTAGTGGAGCATACAGGAGTTCCACACCAGGGGGTAGGTAGTGGAGCATACAAGAGTTCCACACCAGGGGGGTAGGTAGTGGAGCATACAAGAGTTCCACACCAGGGGGGTATGTATTGGAGCATACAGGAGTTCCACACCAGGGGGGTAGGTAGTGGAGCATACAAGAGTTCCACACCAGGGGGTAGGTAGTGGAGCATACAAGAGTTCCACACCAGGGGGTAGGTAGTGGAGCATACAAGAGTTCCACACCAGGGGGGTAGGTAGTGGAGCATACAAGAGTTCCACACCAGGGGGGTAGGTAGTGGAACATTCAGGAGTTCCACACCAGGGGGTAGGTAGTGGAGCATTCAGGAGTTCCACACCAGGGGGTAGGTAGTGGAACATTCAGGAGTTCCACACCAGGGGGGTAGGTAGTGGAGCATACAGGAGTTCCACACCAGGGGGGTAGGTAGTGGAACATACAAGAGTTCCACACCAGGGGTGTAGGTAGTGGAACATACAAGAGTTAAACACCAGGGGGGTAGGTAGTGGAGCATACAGGAGTTCCACACCAGGGGGGGGTAGGTAGTGGAGCATACAGGAGTTCCACACCAGGGGGGTAGGTAGTGGAACATACAAGAGTTCCACACCAGAGGGTAGGCAGTGGAGCATACAGGAGTTCCACACCAGGGGGGGGGTAGTGGAGCATACAAGAGTTCCACACCAGGGGGTAGGTAGTGGAGCATACAAGAGTTCCACACCAGGGGTGTAGGTAGTGGAACATACAAGAGTTAAACACCAGGGGGGGTAGGTAGTGGAGCATACAGGAGTTCCACACCAGGGGGGGTAGGTAGTGGAACATACAAGAGTTCCACACCAGGGGGTAGGTAGTGGAGCATACAGGAGTTCCACACCAGGGGGGGGTAGGTAGTGGAGCATACAAGAGTTCCACACCAGGGGGGTAGGTAGTGGAACATACAAGAGTTCCACACCAGGGGGGTAGGTAGTGGAGCATACAGGAGTTCCACACCAGGGGGTAGGTAGTGGAGCATACAAGAGTTCCACACCAGGGGGGTAGGTAGTGGAGCATACAAGAGTTCCACACCAGGGGGGTATGTATTGGAGCATACAGGAGTTCCACACCAGGGGGGTAGGTAGTGGAGCATACAAGAGTTCCACACCAGGGGGTAGGTAGTGGAGCATACAAGAGTTCCACACCAGGGGGTAGGTAGTGGAGCATACAAGAGTTCCACACCAGGGGGTAGGTAGTGGAGCATACAAGAGTTCCACACCAGGGGGGTAGGTAGTGGAGCATACAAGAGTTCCACACCAGGGGGGTAGGTAGTGGAGCATACAAGAGTTCCACACCAGGGGGGTAGGTAGTGGAGCATACAAGAGTTCCACACCAGGGGGGTAGGTAGTGGAACATTCAGCGCTACAACAAGTAGAGAGTAAAATAGGGGACAAACAAGAAAGCGTAAAATGCTGACCAGTATTCCTGACATATATACTATGCAAAGTGACAGCTGGAAACATAACAAAAGTAGTTCCAATATTCAAGAAAAGGGACAAACATGGCAGCTGGAAAACAGAGACCATCTCTGGCATGCTTACATTGTAAAGTAATGAAGAAGAGCATAATAAAATAATTGCAAACCATCTGGAAATTGTAGAATTTATCATTGACCAACAACATGTGTTCAGGATAACGAAGCATTCCTCAGTAACTATAAAATATGATATGGTGGAAGATGGAAGGACAACCGTGGAAGATGGGTGGACTGCACATTCCTACACTACCAGAAGGCCTTCAGCACGGTACAACACACAAATGACCAGACACTCTACAATCAGGAAAAAATAAGTTGAATATCAGATAGGATACAAGAGTGGATACGATGTACCTCACAAGTAGAAGGAAGAGAAAAACAGAGTGAGAGAGATGTTAAGTGAAGTTCCTCAAGGTGCAGTGTCTGGACCAAACAGTTATATATATATTCCTTCATGTATATATGACGCAAAACTGTAAAAATAGAAATCGTGACAAATTTCTGAAAGCTGAAGGACATGGGCATACTGCGTATATGCCATGACAAGCAACAGCTGGAGTTTAAGCTCATATAAATGTATGGATATGAGGAGGGAAGAAGGTGAAATAAGGTCAGTAACTAAGGTCTGAGACAGTTGTCTGGCGGAGGCAGCCCCCAGGACCTCACACTAGGCCTCCCACAACACCTTCACGTGCTCACGAAAGCATTAATAATGTCTACAAAGTTAACAAATATGTGAACAGTGTTGAAGACTCAACACAATGTGTGTCACATATATAAGGTCAATACTGGGATATACAGTATGGAATTCTATGATAAAATAACGAGGAAAGGCAACACAGAGAAGATTGGGCAGACTGCATATTTCTGGACTGCCAAAAAGCCTTTGATACAGTACCGCACATGAGACTGCTGTTCAAACTTGAGAGGCAGGCGGGGGTGGGGGGGTGAGCGGAAAGGCTCTAGCATGGATAAGAAACTACCTAACAGGAAGGAGCCAGTGAGTTACGGTAAGGGGCGAAAAGTTGGACTGGTGAACAGTAACGAGTGGAGTACCTCAAGGATCGGTGCTGGGACCAATTCTATTTCTAATATACATTAACGACATGTTTACAGGTGTAGAATCCTACATGTCGATGTTTGTGGATGATCCAAAGTTGATGAGAATAGTTGTGACAGATGAGGATTGTAGGATCCTTCAAGAGGACTTGAACAGGTTGCAGAGATGGTCAGAAAAATGGCTACTGGAGTTCAACATAAGCAAATGTAAAGTTATGGAAATAGGATTAGGTGATAGGAGACCAAAGGGACAGTACACAATGAAGGGGAACAGCCTACCTGTGACAACTTGAGAAAGAGACCTGTGAGTGGATGTAACACCTAATCTAACTCCTGAGGCACATATAAATAGGATAACGACAGCAGCGTACTCTGTACTGGCAAAAGTTGGAACATCATTCAGAAACCTAAGTAAGGAGGCATTTACACTGCTTACGTGAGGCCAGTCTTAGAGTATGCCGCCCCATCATGGAGTCCCCACTTGAATAAACACATAAGGAAACAGGAAAAGGTTCAGAAGTTTGCAACAAGACTCGTCCCAGCATTACGAGGGATGGGGTATGAAGAGCGCCTGAAGGAACTGAGCCTTACGACACTAGAAAAAAGAAGGGAGAGGGGGGGGGATGTGGTAGGATCGTATAAAATACTCAGGGGAATTGACAGTGGAAATAGACAAAATGTTCACACGGAATAGTAACAGAACGAGGGGACATGGGTGGAAGCTGGAAACTCAGATGAGTCACAGAGATGTTAGGAAGTTTTCTTTTAGCGTGAGAGTAGTGGAAAAATGGAATGCACTTAAGGAGCAGGTTGTGGAAGAAAATTCTGTTCATAATTTTAAAACTAGGTATGATAGGGAAATAGGACCGGAGTCACTGCTGTAAACAACCGATGGGTGGAAAGTTGGGATCCAAGAGTCAATGCTCGATCCTGCAGACACAACTAGGTGAGTACAACTAGGTGAGTACACACACACACACACACACACACACACACACACACACAGTGGTAGACGGTTGGAACAAGTTAGGTGAGGTGGTGGAGGCCAAACCTGTTAATAGTTTCAAAGCATTATACGACAGAGTACTGGGAAGACGGGACACCACGAGCGTAGCTCTTATCCTTTAACTACACTTAGGTAACTACACACAAACACACACACACACACAGAGTAGTGTTCATTAGGCTACTGACAATAACAGGATCTTCACCAAAAGTCACTTCTGAAACTGATCTTAACATTAACAACTCCAAATCAATCTAAAATACAACTTTTATTTGAAATAACAATTGAATGTTAACCTAAACTCATTTAAAAGCCGAGGAATAAATGAGAGATTCAAGACTGACCGTGTCTGAAGTTGCCCTTCTGGGTCATCATGTCCACGAAGTAGTAGTCCTCCGGGGTGGCGTAGAAGAGGTTCTTGCGGGTCTGCGAGGGCTTGAACTGGTAGAGCCAGGTGCCCTTGAAGAAGGCGGCGTTGGCCAGCACCATCTTAGCCTGCGACACGTCGGCGGGCTCCACCAGGGTGTTGATGCGGCCCTTCGTCGTCTCGCTCACGAAGTTGTTGATCTCGTTGGCGGCCTCTGTCGCCTGTGGGGGGAGCGTTGGTGCAGTGTTAGCAGGTGTGGGGCTCGGGGGCGTTGGTGGAGTGTTAGCAGGTGTGGGGCTCGGGGGCGTTGGTGGAGTGTTAGCAGGTGTGGGACTCGGGAGTGTTGGTGGAGTGTTAGCAGGTGTGGGGCTCGGGGGCGTTGGTAGAGTGTTAGCAGGTGTGGGGCTCGGGAGGAACACGCCCCCACGTCTCCAAGTCTTACGGAGATAATATATTTCATGCACGACCAATACTTATCATACATTCCATTCACCCGGGCTGTATGGGGCTCGAACCCTCGACCCCACGCGTGTCGACTGGGCTGTCAGCACTCTTAAAATTATACAAATTGGGGTCTCGGTAGTATAGTGGCTACGTTCTCAACTCACAATTTGAGAGGTTTCGGGTGCGAACCCAGAGCGGAAGAGAAAGGATTGGGCACGTTTTTTTCACCTGATGCCGCTGTTCACCTAGCACTAAATAGGTACCCAGGAGTTAGTCAGCTAGTTGTGGGGTTGTATCCTGGGGGGGAGGGGTTCAATAGTTCCACCTTGGGAGGGGGGGGGGACCTCGATACATATCTAAAGAACATGTATACACAGGCATTCTGTCCCCGACAATTGGAATTATTATTATTATTTGTTAATAGTAAAAAACTCCTCAACTTTGACATATCGGCTTATATCAAGGTCCCCCCCCCCCCCAGGACACACCCCACAACAAGCCGACTACCTCCTGGGGTACCTACCTACTCTTAGGGTGACGGGAGCAGTAGGTAATAAGAAACACGCCCAACCGTTTCTGTTCCGCCCGGGATTCCCGAGTGTGGGTCGAGAACGAAGCCGAATGTACTACCGAGAACCTGTAAGGTCTTATCCCTTGTAGTTTATAACCACAGTAAACATTGGAGATTTGCAGGAACAGAATCCTGAATAGTCATTAGGCTTGGCCTGTTAGTGTGGCCTCGACCAGGTCGAGTGTGGCCTCGACCAGGTCGAGTGTGGCCTCGACCAGGTCGAGTGTGGCCTCGACCAGGTCGAGTGTGGCCTCGTCCAGGTCGAGTGTGGCCTCGTCCAGGTCGAGTGTGGCCTCGACCAGGTCGAGTGTGGCCTCGACCAGGTCGAGTGTGGCCTCGACCAGGTCGAGTGTGGCCTCGACCAGGTCGAGTGTGGCCTCGTCCAGGTCGAGTGTGGCCTCGACCAGTCGAGTGTGGCCTCGGTCGAGTGTGGCCTCGACCAGGTCGAGTGTGGCCTCGACCAGGTCGAGTGTGGCCTCGACCAGGTCGAGTGTGGCCTCGACCAGGTCGAGTGTGGCCTCGACCAGGTCGAGTGTGGCCTCGACCAGGTCGAGTGTGGCCTCGAGTAGGTCGAGTGTGACTGCACCTGACAGATACATAACCTTGTATTCTTCTAAACCCTTGACGCAGGAGGAACAATAGGAGATAATATAAGGTATTTTATAACGGTCCTCTGTCATACTTATCAGCCATTTCACAACTTGTCAACATTAACTGAGCAATCTGCATTAACCATTGACAAGCCGTCGGCTTCTTGTTCACATGGAGGCCACTAGAGAGACACTGGCCCTCAGGTAAATTCAGGTAAATAACAGTCACCGAGAACAATGGCTGCTTCAGGGATCGCAGACAATACATACAATTGTTAACACAGTTTCCGCTGTAATGTCATCCCAAGAAAAAGTTTGCCAGAAATTATCTGAAGCAATATTCAATAATACCCAGAAAGCCATTGTTGGATACTATGGTAATATTGTGATGCAAGAGATGATGAATGGTGCAACACTTTCCCAAGGTGTCAGATGTGTAGTCAACACGGCCACAACCCCACCCGTCACACAACACTCAATAGGCTACCCTCAGTTTTTGCCATTGGAGCTATTGTAAATACTGTAAATATAATCTGGAAACTGCTCGGTGATCATTCTTCCATTATCGACTACGTCTAAAGAATTACTTGACTTTTTTAATGACTCTTTTGATCTCTCTGTCTCTCTCTCTGTGTCTCAAAATCTCATAAAATATATTATAACAAAAAGATGAAAAATTTGCTAAAAAACTATTTATTTATATTTTTTATTTTATTTATTTATATATGCAAGAGTTCGTACAATCTTGTACAGCCACTAACATGTATAGCGTTTCGGGCAGGTCTTTAATCTTAATTTTCCCTGGACTACGACAAGCCAAATCGCTTAGCAACCAGGCACTTATTCACTGCTGGGTGAACAGAGGCTACACTTGGGGATTGGCGCCCAGTCAATCCTTCCCGGCCAGGACTCTCAATTTCAGCACATTGGCCACACCTATTGTTGGCCTTAATTCCCAACATCAACAACCTATCATTAGTAGGGAAGGTCTCGTGAAAATAGCGATACAATAGTTCACGATGTTTTGGGGCAATACATTTAACATAAAGGTTCGCCCATATTGCTCGCCAGTTAAAGACTGGATATGCCTCCTCTACTCTAGCAACTACATGTGGGAGCAGAACATCACACACCTGTTAACTGTTCATCATTACAAAAAACTCAACATTACAAATCTGCCTGAGAATGGCAGATTTGTAACTGCACAGGAATAACAGTGAGGTGACATAAAGGCCAGGTCAGTATACTCTGACATATGGATCAAGTACCTAACACGTATTTTACAAAAATAATGCCCTAAAGCATTTATGTAGGAAAAAAGACACCATTTACTAACAAATTCATTTACAGAAAACGAGACTGTAGTGGAATTTTCCCCGGAAGAAAACGAATTATCATTGCCATGTCGTCATTAAATTCACCAGCTAATAATACTGGAAATTCATCTTAAGACATCAGTCTCTGGACTGTAAATATCATAAAAAACATTTCCCTTGGACCAAATTATCAGTACTAAATTAGATTAAATATAAACCCTCTTGCCACTTCTTGATAAAACTCATGTGGAGAGGCGCCATGAGAGAGGGTGGGAGAGAGAGCATGAGCCGTGTGACTCCCGCTCTGGACGGTTTAGACACGGGTGGTGTTGTCATCTCCAGCACTTGTACATAACAAGTTATTGTCGAGGAGTTAGACAGCACAAATCACTGTTACCAGGGAAGGCAATATATCCGTACAGTATACTACATGATTTGTAGAGCTCTTTATTTCGTTGTGTAGTTTTACTGTCATGGTTATGTCGTATATAAACAATAAATCCGCGGGGGAGCAACAATCTCATCTCTTTATTAAACATTATTATTATTATTATTATTATTGTACATTTAACGAAATAATTTATGTGGCAAAATTTACGGTGTAAACTCCTTCGCAGGTAAAGTGGGAAGTGAAGTTACTAATGTGGCGTTACCCCGAAGGGAGCCGTAAAAGGGAGCCGGTCGATTGATTGATTGATGAAGATTAAGTCACCCAAAAGGTGGCACGGGCATGAATAGCCCGTAAGTGGCGGCCCTTTTGAGCCATTACCAGTATCAAGAGCTAATACTGGAGATCTGTGGAGGTGCGACTGCACCCTGCGTGACGGGAGATGTGTTCCCCGTCATGAGCCGGTCGGCCGAGCGGACAGCACACTGGACTTGTGATCCTGTGGTCCCGGGTTCGATCCCGGGCGTCGGCGAGAAACAATGGGCAGAGTTTCTTTCACCCTATGCCCCTGTTACCTAGCAGTAAAATAGGTACCTGGGTGTTAGTCAGCTGTCACGGGCTGCTTCCTGGGGGTGGAGGCCTGGTCGAGGACCGGACCGCGGGGGACACTAAAGCCCCGAAATCATCTCAAGATAACCACAAGACGGGAGACCACGTGACTGGCTGGCTACCCACTCGCTCTACATCAACACCACAATACTGAACCCTTCTGGTCACATAAGGTCCACATTTTCATTCACTAATGTGTAGTTTAACTCCAGTAACACTGTAGAGAATGATTAATTTTGAATGATAGACTATAAATAATGCCCCCCCCCCAGCTTGTGTAGGGAACAATTTGTGGCAATTTACTATCATATAGTTCACTTTAAATTCATAGTCCGCTATCGAAATTAATAAATTAACGTAAGAAATAAATTAATATAAATTAATACATTGTAAATAGATAAATAAATCCCACGAGTCAGTTTTCCCCACAATTTACACTATTCCTTTGCATTATTTCCTTTCTAAAAGTAACACACATGATAGCCAATGACTTACGGTACACATTCAGTCTCCCTAGTCCACCATTACTGATGCAACGGGGTGCCCACATGACCACCACTGGCGCGCCTATCACCGTGACATCTATCGCTCTATTTCCCACCCTATGGGGGCTCTATCGCTCTACTTCCCACCCTCTGGGGGCTCTATCGCTCTACTTCCCACCCTCTGGGGGCTCTATCGCTCTATTTCCCACCCTATGGGGGCTCTATCGCTCTACTTCCCACCCTCTGGGGGCTCTATCGCTCTACTTCCCACCCTCTGGGGGCTCTATCGCTCTACCTCTCACCCTCTGGGGGCTCTATCGCTCTACTTCCCACCCTCTGGGGGCTCTATCGCTCTACTTCACACCCTCTGGGGCTCTATCGCTCTACCTCTCACCCTCTGGGGGCTCTATCGCTCTACTTCACACCCTCTGGGGGCTCTATCGCTCTACCTCTCACCCTCTGGGGGCTCTATCGCTCTACTTCACACCCTCTGGGGGCTCTATCGCTCTACCTCTCACCCTCTGGGGGCTCTATCGCTCTACTTCCCACCCTCTGGGGGCTCTATCGCTCTACCTCTCACCCTCTGGGGGCTCTATCGCTCTACTTCCCACCCTCTGGGGGCTCTATCGCTCTACCTCCCACCCTCTGGGGGCTCTATCGCTCTACCTCTCACCTTCTGGGGGCTCTATCGCTCTACTTCACACCCTCTGGGGGCTCTATCGCTCAACCTCTCACCTTCTGGGGGCTCTATCGCTCTACTTCACACCCTCTGGGGGCTCTATCGCTCAACCTCTCACCTTCTGGGGGCTCTATCGCTCTACTTCCCACCCTCTGGGGGCTCTATCGCTCTACCTCCCACCCTCTGGGGGCTCTATCGCTCTACCTTCCACCCTCTGGGGGCTCTATCGCTCTACTTCCCACCCTCTGGGGGCTCTATCGCTCTACTTCCCACCCTCTGGGAGCTCTATCGCTCTACCTCCCACCCTCTGGGGGCTCTATCGCTCTACCTTCCACCCTCTGGGGGCTCTATCGCTCTACTTCCCACCCTCTGGGGGCTCTATCGCTCTACCTCCCACCCTCTGGGGGGAGGTAGGTCCCTGTGTTGCTGGTGGTGTACATGGGGGGGCGTGTAAATGCTGACTTCATGGCGAGGGTGCAGGCGTGCAGGGGGGGGGGGATATAAGGGTGTTTTAGAGAGGAGTGACGGAGTGTGACCTGTGTGTCTATAAAATACTGTCCCTCTTCTTGTACCCCTGCAACAGCTGTAACAGCTAAGACTTGAACCTCCACTCACACGATGCAAATGGGGTGAGAATAGCTTGAGCTACCTCATCCCTTTGTATTTTACCTCAATAAACTTGTTTCAATTTCAATTTCAATTTCACACGATGCAAAGCAGAGTGCCTGTACCACTGTGCGTCCACATCACAAGAGTAATGGACATTATTTTTCAACTGATTCATTTACTACAACTGTTGAATCACTTTAGAAATACCGTCCCTTACTTCTGTGGTGTGGTGCTCCAGCAATGCAACATACAGTACAACTTTGCATCTGGCTCAAGTCCTAGTCATGGTGCTTGGAATTTTCAGGTATTTTTAAAGTCCATGGTTGTAGGCCAGGTCCTTGGTGCCTCACCCAAATTTACAGGATGAAACACTGGAGGTATGGGAGTGTCACAGGGTGGTCGCGGTTGGCCAATTTGTCCCACTTTAAGATATATCGCCTCCTACAATTTTGGGTGACGTCTGAAATCGGGAATTTGCTTTCCACAGAGATTTTATAAATTTTCATATTTTTGTTATAACACATTTTATGAGATCGAGAGAAAAATAAGAGGAAGGGAGAGAGAGAGGAGGGGGGGAGAGAGAGGGAGAGAGAGAGGAGGAGGAGGAGAGGGAGGAGGGGGAGGGAGAGGGAGGGGGGAGGGGAGAGAGAGAGGGAGGGGGGAGAGAGAGAGAGGGAGGAGAGAGGGAGAGAGGAGAGAGGGGAGGGAGGAGAGAGAGAGAGGAGGGAGGGGAGAGAGAGAGGGGGGAGGAGAGAGAGAGGAGGGGGGGAGGAGAGAGAGGAGGGGGAGGAGAGAGGGGGAGGAGGAGGAGAGAGAGAGAGGAGAGGGGGAGAGAGAGAGGAGGGAGAGGAGAGAGAGGGAGAGGAGGGAGAGAGAGAGAGAGAGAGGGAGAGGAGAGAGAGAGGAGGGGAGAGGAGAGAGGAGGAGGAGAGAGAGAGAGAGGGGAGGGAGAGAGAGAGAGGAGGGAGAGAGAGAGGAGGAGGGAGAGAGAGAGAGAGAGGGGGAGAGAGAGAGAGAGGGAGGAGGGGAGAGAAGAGAGAGAGGGGGGGGGAGAGAGAGAGGGGAGGGGGAGAGAGAGGGGGGGGGGAGAGAGAGGAGGGAGAGAGAGGGGGAGAGAGAGGAGAGAGAGAGGAGAGAGAGAGAGGAGAGAGGGGAGAGGAGAGAGAGGAGGGGGGGAGAGAGAGAGGGGAGAGGAGAGAGAGGAGGGGGAGAGGGGAGAGAGGGAGGGGGGAGGGGGGAGAGGGAGGGAGAGGAGAGGGGGGAGAGAGGAGGGAGAGAGAGAGAGAGAGGGGGAGAGAGAGAGAGGAGGGAGGAGAGAGGGGGAGAGAGAGAGGAGGAGAGAGAGAGAGAGGGGGGGAGAGGAGAGAGAGGAGAGGGGAGAGGAGGAGGAGGGGAGAGAGAGAGGGGGAGAGAGAGAGAGGGGGGAGAGAGGGGGAGAGAGAGAGAGAGGGGGAGAGAGAGAGGAGGGAGAGAGGAGAGGAGGGGAGAGAGGAGAGGAGGGGAGGAGAGAGAGGGGGAGAGGAGAGGGGAGAGAGAGGGGGGAGAGGGAGGGGAGAGAGAGAGGGGGGAGAGAGAGAGAGAGGGGGGGAGAGAGGGAGGGGGGGAGAGAGAGGGAGGGGGGGAGGAGAGAGAGGAGGAGGGAGAGGAGAGAGGAGAGAGGAGGGAGGGGGAGAGAGAGAGAGGGAGAGGGGGAGAGAGAGAGAGAGGGGGGGGAGGGAGAGAGAGAGGGAGGGGGGGGGAGGGGGAGAGAGAGGAGAGGGGAGAGGGAGAGAGAGAGGAGGAGAGGGGGGAGGAGAGGAGGGAGGGAGGGGGAGAGGAGAGAGAGGAGAGGGGGGGAGGGGGAGAGAGAGAGGGGGGGGGGGAGAGAGGAGGGGGGGAGAGAGGAGGGGGAGGAGAGAGGAGGGAGGGGGGGAGAGAGAGGAGGGGAGGAGGAGAGCGGGGAGGGGGGGGAGAGAGAGGAGGGGGAGTGAGAGAGAGAGGAGGGGAGAGAGAGAGGAGGGGGAGGAGAGAGAGGAGGGGGGAGACGAGAGAGGGAGAGGAGGGGGGGAGAGAGAGAGAGAGGGGAGGGAGAGGAGGAGAGGGAGGAGAGAGAGAGGAGGGAGGGGAGAGAGAGAGGAGATGAGAGAGGGAGGAGGGGGAGAGAGAGAGAGGAGGGGAGAGAGAGGGAGGGAGAGAGAGAGGAGAGGGGGGGAGGGAGAGAGAGGAGGGGGGGAGAGAGAGGAGGGGAGGAGAGAGAGGAGAGGGGGGGAGAGAGAGGGAGGGGGAGAGAGAGAGGAGGGGGGGAGAGAGAGAGAGGGGGGGAGAGAGGAGGGGGGGGAGAGAGAGAGGGGGGGGAGAGAGAGAGAGAGGGGGGGAGAGAGAGAGGGGGGGAGGAGGAGGGGAGAGAGAGAGAGGGGGGAGAGAGAGGAGAGAGAGAGAGGGAGGAGAGAGGGAGAGAGAGAGGAGGGGGGGGAGAGAGAGGGAGGGGGGGAGAGAGAGAGGAGGGGGGAGAGAGAGAGAGAGGGGGGGAGAGAGAGGAGAGAGGGGGGAGGAGAGAGAGAGGAGGGGGGAGAGAGAGAGAGGAGGGGGGAGAGAGAGAGAGGAGGGGGAGAGAGAGGAGGGGGGGAGAGAGAGAGGGGGGGAGAGAGAGGAGGGGGAGAGAGAGAGAGGGAGGAGGGGGGGGAGAGAGAGAGGGAGAGGAGGAGGGAGAGAGAGAGAGAGGGGGAGGAGAGAGAGAGGGGGGGGGAGAGAGAGGAGAGAGGGAGAGAGGAGGAGGGGGAGAGAGAGAGGAGGGGGGGAGAGAGAGAGAGGGGGAGAGAGAGGAGGGAGGGGAGAGAGAGGAGGGAGGAGAGAGAGAAGAGAGAGAGAGGGGGAGGAGGAGAGAGAGGAGGGAGAGAGAGAGAGAGAGGAGGGAGAGAGAGAGAGAGGGGGGGAGAGAGAGGAGGGAGAGAGAGGAGGGGGAGGGGAGAGAGGGGGGGAGGAGAGGAGAGGGGGGGAGAGGAGAGAGGAGGGGGGGAGAGAGAGGAGGGGGGAGAGAGCGGGAGGAGAGGGGGAGAGAGAGGAGAGGGGGAGAGAGGAGGGGGGAGGAGAGAGGAGGGGAGAGAGAGAGAGAGAGGGAGAGGAGAGAGAGGAGAGAGGGGAGAGAGAGAGAGGGAGGGGGGAGAGAGAGGAGGGGGGGAGAGAGAGAGAGAGGAGAGGGGGGGGGGGAGAGATGAAGACACGGCCTTCTTGGAGGTGAGAATGGAGAGACGTTGGAGGACTTACTGATGGGCCAACGTTCTCAATGTTCCACACCTGGCCCACCCAGCGGTGGACTTACTGTTATGTACAAGGCCAACGTTCTCAATGTTCCACACCTGGCCCACCCAGCGGTGGACTTACTGTTATGTACAAGGCCAACGTTCTCAATGTTCCACACCTGGCCCACCCAGCAGCTGGCATCCCTAACACAAGGCTCTCAGCCACCAACGGTGTCATGCTGGAACTGCCTTTCCTAAGAACATCGCCCCATCACCGATCATTCATTCCTAGGCTGACTTGCATCTGTAATTTATTTGCTCAACAGGTTGATACACGGGAGATCAGGTCACGTGATCACATGAAGGCTCTGCACACGACTGGCTAATGGTTCATCCTGTTACTTATATTATTGTTAATTAGATGTAAATAAAGTTCATTCCTTATGATTAAAACAAATAATAATTTCATGAATTTAACGAGTCTGTAGGGGGTGGGGAGGGGGTGGGGGGGGGCATGAGATGAGCTGAGGTAGGATAACAGCTGTTGCTTGCACCTTCACAAAGTACCTGAATTAACAGCCCTAATGAACCCTGGTTTTAGTTAAAAAATAAAACAAAGACAGACCCGGGCACTGCCAGGGACCCCCCCCTCTAGTAAGATAATACAAATATATAGCAGTGACAGTAAAACTAATAATACCAGTTAATAAAGACACCAGCCATCACCATCTCATTTTCATTCAAGATTAAAATCTAATTTCCCGTTTTCATTCGACGAGAAATAAATTGAAACAAATAAAACATAAGCGTAGAGTACTAGGCTAGGCTGGCGCGTAGGCCTGGCTGGAGGACAGCAAGTAATATGACTTTACCTGGGAGAAGTCGAGAACCTGGAGCTCATTATGGAGGATGGCGTCCATACAGGTGCGCAGAGACACAGTCTTGTCAAAGAACGCCCGGTTGGCCAGGTTGAAGGTGTAGTCACTGTTGTTGGCTTGCCTCATGCGGTACCTGTTGGGCAAGGCTACACTTAGAACACAAGTAAATGTACACCATTGTATCAGGGGAAGTTGTACACCTTTCTACGGTTATATACCCACATTGGGTTACCCAATTTGTCCCCATATTATACTTCCTTCGCCACACTCTCGAAGTCATCATTATAAAAACATGCCTTTAAAACATGTCAATAGCTTGGTTCTGTTTTACATATGGATAACTAGCACAGAATATCATAAGGACTTTATAATTATTTAAAGAAAAATGGCAAATCACAAATACAAAAGCTAGCTACAATCACTGAGAATTTGAGGTGTTTTAACACTCAAAACATATTTAGCGAAGGCTTGACGTCTCACTCAGTGTTGATAACGATAATAGTTACTTCTAATCTAACAACAACTTAAAACAAATTGTTGGGAGATCAAGTGGCATATCCGGAAGATGGTATGATACCCGCGGGCAGGACCCTCGTCCTGCACTATATGGTGATGTGGCGGAGCATCACTTGCTCACTCCACTCACTACATGACAAGTTACACATTAAGAGAGAATATTGGTCTATTACTCACAGGAACTCTAGCGCCCTCCAGTTCTTGAGGGTGGTGACCTTGTCGGTGACCCGCAGGGCCTCCTCCAGCTGGAGCTGTGTCTCGCCCCCAGAGCCGAAGTAGGCGAGGGTGAGGGCGTTCCATACGCTGTAGGGGGAGAAGAAGAAGTTCCTGGTCGTGGAGTTGTAGGGGAAGAGCCCCTTGAAGAGCTCCAGCCCGAAGTCCGTGATGGGTGAGAGGTCGCTGCTGGCGGGGATGTCCAGGTTGTCGTTCTCAGAGAGACACTGAGGACGCGCGCCGGCCACCAACGCCAGTACCACTAACACAACGCCGCCCTGCATCTTCCTGCAATAACACGTCCATCTGTTAGTATGTATTGTGTACCACACAAACATTATTACCGGCCTCGTTGACACGACCAGTACCAGCCCTGTTGACACGACCAGTACCAGCCCCGTTGACACGACCAGTACCAGCCCCGTTGACACGACCAGTACCAGCCCTGTTGACACAACCAGTACCAGCCCTGTTGACACAACCAGTACCAGCCCCGTTGACACAACCAGTACCAGCCCTGTTGACACAACCAGTACCAGCCCCCGTTGACACAACCAGTACCAGCCCGTTGACACAACCAGTACCAGCCCCGTTGACACGACCAGTACCAGCCCTGTTGACACGACCAGTACCAGCCCTGTTGACACGACCAGTACCAGCCCCGTTGACACGACCAGTACCAGCCCTGTTGACACGACCAGTACCAGCCCTGTTGACACGACCAGTACCAGCCCTGTTGACACGACCAGTACCAGCCCTGTTGACACGACCAGTACCAGCCCCGTTGACACAACCAGTACCAGCCCCCGTTGACACAACCAGTACCAGCCCTGTTGACACGACCAGTACCAGCCCTGTTGACACAACCAGTACCAGCCCCCGTTGACACAACCAGTACCAGCCCCGTTGACACAACCAGTACCAGCCCCCGTTGACACAACCAGTACCAGCCCTGTTGACACAACCAGTACCAGCCCCGTTGACACAACCAGTACCAGCTCCCCGTTGACACAACCAGTACCAGCCCCCGTTGACACAACCAGTACCAGCCCCGTTGACACGACCAGTACCAGCCCCCGTTGACACAACCAGTACCAGCCCCGTTGACACAACCAGTACCAGCCCCCGTTGACACAACCAGTACCAGCCCTGTTGACACAACCAGTACCAGCCCTGTTGACACGACCAGTACCAGCCCCGTTGACACGACCAGTACCAGCCCTGTTGACACGACCAGTACCAGCCCCGTTGACACGACCAGTACCAGCCCCGTTGACACAACCAGTTACACCCCCGTTGACACGACCAGTACCAGCCCGTTGACACAACCAGTACCAGCCCCGTTGACACAACCAGTACCAGCCCCCGTTGACACAACCAGTACCAGCCCTGTTGACACAACCAGTACCAGCCCCGTGACACGACCAGTACCAGCCCTGTGACACAACCAGTACCAGCCCCCGTTGACACGACCAGTACCAGCCCTGTTGACACAACCAGTACCAGCCCCGTTGACACAACCAGTACCAGCCCGTTGACACAACCAGTACCAGCACCGTTGACACAACCAGTACCAGCCCCGTTGACACAACCAGCACCAGCCCCCGTTGACACAACCAGTACCAGCCCCCGTTGACACAACAGTACCAGCCCTGTTGACACGACCAGTACCAGCCCCGTTGACACGACCAGTACCAGCCCTGTTGACACGACCAGTACCAGCCCCCGTTGACACGACCAGTACCAGCCCTGTTGACACAACCAGTACCAGCCCCGTTGACACAACCAGTACCAGCCCCGTTGACACAACCAGTACCAGCCCCCCGTTGACACAACCAGTACCAGCCCCGTTGACACAACCAGTACCAGCCCCCGTTGACACAACCAGTACCAGCCCCCGTTGACACGACCAGTACCAGCCCCGTTGACACGACCAGTACCAGCCCTGTTGACACAACCAGTACCAGCCCGTTGACACAACCAGTACCAGCCCCATTGACACAACCAGTACCAACCCCGTTGACACAACCAGTACCAGCCCCGTTGACACGACCAGTACCAGCCCCCGTTGTCACAACCAGTACCAGCCCCCGTTGTCACAACCAGTACCAGCCCTGTTGACACAACCAGTACCAGCCCTGTTGACACGACCAGTACCAGCCCTGTTGACACAACCAGTACCAGCCCTGTTGACACAACCAGTATCAGCCCCGTTGACACAACCAGTACCAACCCCGTTGACACAACCAGTACCAGCCCCGTTGACACGACCAGTACCAGCCCCCGTGACACAACCAGTACCAACCCCGTTGACACAACCAGTACCAGCCCTGTTGACACAACCAGTACCAGCCCCGTTGACACAAACCAGTACCAACCCCGTTGACACAACCAGTACCAGCCCGTTGACACGACCAGTACCAGCCCCCGTTGACACAACCAGTACCAACCCCGTTGACACAACCAGTACCAGCCCCGTTGACACGACCAGTACCAGCCCCGTTGACACGACCAGTACAGCCCTGTTGACACGACCAGTACCAGCCCCGTTGACACAACCAGTACCAGCCCTGTTGACACAAACCAGTACCAGCCTTGTTGACACAACCAGTACCAGCCTCCGTTGACACAACCAGTACCAGCCCCGTTGACACGACCAGTACCAGCCCTGTTGACACGACCAGTACCAGCCCCGTTGACACGACCAGTACCAGCCCCGTTAACACAACCAGTACCAGCCCCGTTAACACAACCAGTACCAGCCCCGTTAACACAACCAGTACCAGCCCCGTTAACACAACCAGTACCAGCCCCGTTGACACGACCAGTACCAGCCCTGTTGACACGACCAGTACCAGCCCCGTTGACACGACCAGTACCAGCCCCGTTAACACAACCAGTACCAGCCCCGTTAACACAACCAGTACCAGCCCCGTTGACACAACCAGTACCAGCCCCGTTGACACAACCAGCACCAGCCCCCGTTGACACAACCAGTACCAGCCCCCGTTGACACAACCAGTACCAGCCCTGTTGACACAACCAGTACCAGCCCCGTTGACACGACCAGTACCAGCCCTGTTGACACGACCAGTACCAGCCCCCGTTGACACGACCAGTACCAGCCCTGTTGACACAACCAGTACCAGCCCCGTTGACACAACCAGTACCAGCCCCGTTGACACGACCAGTACCAGCCCCGTTGACACAACCAGTACCAGCCCCGTTGACACAACCAGTACCAGCCCCCGTTGACACAACCAGTACCAGCCCCGTTGACACGACCAGTACCAGCCCCGTTGACACGACCAGTACCAGCCCTGTTGACACAACCAGTACCAGCCCCGTTGACACAACCAGTACCAGCCCCATTGACACAACCAGTACCAACCCCGTTGACACAACCAGTACCAGCCCCGTTGACACGACCAGTACCAGCCCCCGTTGTCACAACCAGTACCAGCCCCCGTTGTCACAACCAGTACCAGCCCTGTTGACACAACCAGTACCAGCCCTGTTGACACGACCAGTACCAGCCCTGTTGACACAACCAGTACCAGCCCTGTTGACACAACCAGTACCAGCCCCGTTGACACAACCAGTACCAACCCCGTTGACACAACCAGTACCAGCCCCGTTGACACGACCAGTACCAGCCCCCGTTGACACAACCAGTACCAACCCCGTTGACACAACCAGTACCAGCCCTGTTGACACAACCAGTACCAGCCCCGTTGACACAACCAGTACCAACCCCGTTGACACAACCAGTACCAGCCCCGTTGACACGACCAGTACCAGCCCCGTTGACACAACCAGTACCAACCCCGTTGACACAACCAGTACCAGCCCCGTTGACACGACCAGTACCAGCCCTGTTGACACGACCAGTACCAGCCCCGTTGACACGACCAGTACCAGCCCTGTTGACACAACCAGTACCAGCCCTGTTGACACAACCAGTACCAGCCTTGTTGACACAACCAGTACCAGCCTCCGTTGCACAAACCAGTACCAGCCCCGTTGACACGACCAGTACCAGCCCTGTTGACACGACCAGTACCAGCCCCGTTGACACGACCAGTACCAGCCCGTTAACACAACCAGTACCAGCCCCGTTAACACAACCAGTACCAGCCCCGTTAACACAACCAGTACCAGCCCCGTTAACACAACCAGTACCAGCCCCGTTGACACGACCAGTACCAGCCCTGTTGACACGACCAGTACCAGCCCCGTTGACACGACCAGTACCAGCCCCGTTAACACAACCAGTACCAGCCCCGTTAACACAAACCAGTACCAGCCCCGTTAACACAACCAGTACCAGCCCCGTTGGACACGACCAGTACCAGCCCTGTTGACACGACCAGTACCAGCCCCCGTTGACACAACCAGTACCAACCCCGTTGACACAACCAGTACCAGCCCCGTTGACACGACCAGTACCAGCCCCGTTAACACAACCAGTACCAGCCCCGTTAACACAACCAGTACCAGCCCCGTTAACACAACCAGTACCAGCCCGTTAACACAACCAGTACCAGCCCCGTTAACACAACCAGTACCAGCCCCGTTAACACAACCAGTACCAGCCCCGTTAACACAACCAGTACCAGCCCCGTTAACACAACCAGTACCAGCCCCGTTAACACAACCAGTACCAGCCCCGTTGACACGACCAGTACCAGCCCCGTTAACACAACCAGTACCAGCCCCGTTAACACAACCAGTACCAGCCCCGTTAACACAACCAGTACCAGCCCCGTTAACACAACCAGTACCAGCCCCGTTAACACAACCAGTACTCGCATATATTTTGTACATTGTGTAAACCTTCCCGGCTCTTGCTTGACTGGACTCGCTCTCCACACCAGTTCTTTAACTGCGTTAAGACCTGTCGTCTGGAACGTATTAAGGCCGCCACAATAACTAAGTGACTAAAAACTATTTGTACTCTATTAGTAAACATTGAAAGAGCAGCATTGAAGAATGAATTCTAGTGCTGGGCCCAAGTGATCACACTAAAGATGTGTAAACTGTGTGTATATGTACACCCAGATACGAACCAGTTGTGCACTTGTACATCCCTCAGACACGGCCGAGGCATCACGGACTCAACTTGCCACTCCCTGGTCACTCCCTGGTCACGCTGTATATACAATACGTGACTGTCACCGACCTCAGGCGCCAGTGTTCAACCCCAACACCGTCCATGTGGTCCCGCACCTCTCCTTCTCTCCCTCCTATCCCAAATTCTTTCCCAGTGCTATCCCAAATCGGCATAT